TCTCACAATAGCGAGTTTATATTTCGCAATTCTGACTCTCACAATAGCGAGTTTATATTTCGCAATTCTGACTCTCACAATAGCGAGTTTATATTTCGCAATTCTGACTCTCACAATAGCGAGTTTATATTTCGCAATTCTGACTCTCACAATAGCGAGTTTATATTTCGCAATTCTGACTTTTTTCCTCGCAATTCTGACTTTTTTTTTCTCGCAATAGCGAGTTTGTATTTCGGAATTCTGACTCTCACAATAGCGAGTTTGTATTTCGCAATTCTGACTCTCACAATAGCGAGTTTATATTTCGCAATTCTGACTCTCACAATAGCGAGTTTATATTTCGCAATTCTGACTTCTCACAATAGCGAGTTTATATTTCGCAATTGACTTTTTTCCTCGCAATTCTGACTTTTTTTTCTCGCAATAGCGAGTTTGTATTTCGCAATTCTGACTTCCTCACAATAGCGAGTTTATATTTTGCAATTCTGACTTTTCTCTCACAATAGCGAGTTTTTCCGCAATTCTGACTTTTTTTCTCGCAATTCTGAGTATTTCTCAGATTTGAGACTCTATCTCACAATTCTGACTTTTTTCTCGCAATAGCGAGTTTATATCACGCAATTCTGAGAAAAAAAGTCAGAATTGTGAGATTAAAAAGTCGCAATTATCTTTTATTTTATATTCCGTGGCAGAAACGGGCTTCCATTGATCTGAGATAGAGTAAGGGACAAAAAAAAGCATCATTTGTGGATAATTTTGGCAATATTCACTCAAAATGTGAGGAGCATTGAGGCCTACGATCCACCAGTTCCAAAAACAAACACAAACTGTGTAGACTGGAAGAAAACAGGTTGACAAAAGACTGAATCCAACATTTGGTTATAATAAAGCATAACGAGAAATTTACAAGCAATTCTCAACAGCTGGTCATTTTTGACTGGAAACACCAAATTAGGTCAACTTGACAAATTCAAAACACACCCTTTTCTTGATGAACTTGAGGGCGCGTTTGTCCTTGGACACCTTGAGCAGCTCCATAGCGCGCCTCTCGTACGGCGCGAAACCGCACACCTCGCGAATCATGTCGCGCACAAACTTGGTGTGTTTGGTCAGATGCTGAAAAGCAAGAACAACGTCACGTTAAACATGATAACAGTAGCTATGTTTCCATCCAAAGATGCAAATTTAACTTGTGCGCAAAACTGGAATATCGCATAAAACGTATGCGAATAAAGCACCGTTTCCATCCAACGAGCCAAAGAGAACAAAATCATCACTTCCTGATAAACTGGCACTAAATATCTCTAAGAAAACTAGAAGGCCACTGAATATAATAATTTTCATATGTAATAAATTACTTGCGCTTCAGAGAGCAGACGTAACAAATGCAGTCATTGCTTTTAGAGGTGGATGCCTTCTGTTTGGGAACACAGTTGTGTAAGACAGTAATTATACAGAAATACTTTGATGACAGACTTTCCTCACGCATTTCAGAATGACCAAAACAACATATAGATGCTGTGAACGAGATCGGTCCGCTGGTTTGTCAAGTTATCCCGTCTCATAGCGCAAAGTCACATGACTTTTTCAATGCGCATGGTGGAATTTATTCGGTAAATGTGTTTCCATCGTCGTTTATGCAAATTTTTTCTTATCGGATAAAAAGGTTTATCCTACTCAATTGTGCGCATAAATTTCTGCACATTTTTAGAATTTCTGCACATCTTGACGTTTCCATCCAGCGCTTTATGCGATCATCCAAAATGTGCATAAAAATAGTTGGATGGAAACTAGTGGTCGACTGATATATCAGCCGATATTTGGTATTTTTCAAATAGCGTTATCGGCCGATAAGTTTTTCTGTTTGGCCGATGCGTTCGAGGCGGGACTTTTATTTTGACGGCGCTGACAGCAGTTCTGTCTAACACAGATAGAAGTCTTATTTAATAATCCGATAGAACTGTTAAACAATGGAATTAAAATGTATACAAAAAGTGTTATAACGATTGCTTTTATATTATTATTAATAGAAAGGCAAACATTATAATACTTTCTCGTTTGCCGTCAGCATTCAGCAAATACGCATTTACATTTAAACAAATTTACAATGGCTAATGAAAATTAATTTAACAAACCTTGCAAACTTAGTCAAATCCAGTTGAGAGATCTAGTGAAGTGTGCATGTGACCGGCATGATCGCATGTTCTCTGTGTGATTTTCGGTCTGTGCGAATTTAAAGCTTTTTAACATTAAATTTGTGTTTTCAAATTATGCTGCGCTTTATGCATTTGCCCACTGTCATATTCATGTCATTTTCACTGTGTGCTGTATGTAAAATGAGTGTTACCTTGGCTTTATTTGAAAAAAAAATTTTTTTTTCCCCAATGCACACAAACTTCCCAGATTACGGAGTGCTCGGTTGGTTACGGTTTACTTTTAATTGTATTTTTATTAAGTATTTATTTGTGAAAAATTCTTTGTCATCTAAAGTATGTTTATTTTACAAATGTATTTTTTAATCCATTTTCAAATTATTCAATTTCAAATTTCTTAAATATTAATGAAAATAAATACAATTATATCGGCCATTGGCCACCCACTTAGAATTGCAAAAAGTCAAAATCATGTTGATATCTTGCATTTATGGCCATTATTTCTAGCAATTCTGTTTACATCTCCGAAAGTACGAATTTTGAGAAATTCGCAATTGATATTATCATTTTGTCATTGAAATGGGCTTCTCTCTCTCTCTCTCTCTCTCTCTCTCTCTCTCTCTCTCTCTATCTCTCTATCTCTGTCTGTCTGTCTGTCTGCCTCTCTCTGTCTGTCTGTCTGTCTATATCTATCTATCTCTCTCTCTCTCTCTCTGTCTGTCTGTCTCTCTCTCTGTCTGTCTGTCTCTCTCTCTGTCTGTCTGTCTCTCTCTCTGTCTGTCTGTCTCTCTCTCTGTCTGTCTGTCTCTCTCTCTGTCTGTCTGTCTCTCTCTCTGTCTGTCTGTCTCTCTCTCTGTCTGTCTGTCTCTCTCTCTGTCTGTCTGTCTCTCTCTCTGTCTGTCTGTCTCTCTCTCTGTCTGTCTGTCTCTCTCTCTGTCTGTCTGTCTCTCTCTCTGTCTGTCTGTCTCTCTCTCTGTCTGTCTGTCTCTCTCTCTGTCTGTCTGTCTCTCTCTCTGTCTGTCTGTCTCTCTCTCTGTCTGTCTGTCTCTCTCTCTGTCTGTCTGTCTCTCTCTCTGTCTGTCTGTCTCTCTCTCTGTCTGTCTGTCTCTCTCTCTGTCTGTCTGTCTCTCTCTCTGTCTGTCTGTCTCTCTCTCTGTCTGTCTGTCTCTCTCTCTGTCTGTCTGTCTCTCTCTCTGTCTGTCTGTCTCTCTCTCTGTCTGTCTGTCTCTCTCTCTGTCTGTCTGTCTCTCTCTCTGTCTGTCTGTCTGTCTATCTATCTATCTATCTATCTCTCCCTCTATCTCTCTCTTTAGATCTCTCTCCCTCTATATCGCTCTCTCTAGCTATCTCTATTTCTCTAGCTATCTCTATCTCTCTATCTATCTCTCCCTCTATCTCTCTCTTTAGATCTCTCTCCCTCTATATCGCTCTCTCTAGCTATCTCTATTTCTCTAGCTATCTCTATCTCTCTATCTATCTCTCCCTCTATCTCTCTCTTTAGATCTCTCTCCCTCTATATCGCTCTCTCTAGCTATCTCTATTTCTCTAGCTATCTCTATCTCTCTATCTATCTCTCCCTCTATCTCTCTCTTTAGATCTCTCTCCCTCTATATCGCTCTCTCTAGCTATCTCTATTTCTCTAGCTATCTCTATCTCTCTATCTATCTCTCCCTCTATCTCTCTCTTTAGATCTCTCTCCCTCTATATCGCTCTCTCTAGCTATCTCTATTTCTCTAGCTATCTCTATCTCTCTATCTATCTCTCCCTCTATCTCTCTCTTTAGATCTCTCTCCCTCTATATCGCTCTCTCTAGCTATCTCTATTTCTCTAGCTATCTCTATCTCTCTATCTATCTCTCCCTCTATCTCTCTCTTTAGATCTCTCTCCCTCTATATCGCTCTCTCTAGCTATCTCTATTTCTCTAGCTATCTCTATCTCTCTATCTATCTCTCTAATTTATATTATTAGTGCTGTCAAATGATTAATCGCATCCAAAATAAAAGCTTTTGTTTACATAATGTGTGTACTGTGTATATTTATTATGTATATATAAATACACACACATACAGTATATATATTTTGAAAATATTTACATGTATATAATTATATTCTTAAATTTTACATTATATATAAATATATTTAATATATAAACGTAACATATTTTTCTTAAATATGTATGCATGTGTTTGTATTGTACAGCACACACACACATATTATGTAAACTTATATTTTTTTGAGGCCGATCACAGAAAGCAGTATCTGCCGATACGATCACCGATACCGATCTTTTTAAAGCCTTCTTTTTATCATTTAGAATTATTTGTAGTGATGATCCAATCAAGATTTTTAGACATTTATTCAGGGCATTTTGTTTTTTGTTTGTTTGTTTATAATCGTGTTATCGTTGCACAATAGCTTGCACTGCGCAAGCCTGATTTTGTGAGCTGTATGTGAGGTTCACACATACTCTGCTTGCAGTGCGTGTGTGGTACAGAAGCAGCACGGACTGTGCTTTCACACAAGAGTCTGCTCCTGATCCGTGGCTGTTCACCACAAACACAACATTTATCCATTATTTTGATTTTAAATCCAAACATTGTTACTTAAAATGCTTTTTCAATATTGTGATTCTTTTTTTCTTTTTTTTTCACAGTACAGTAATACATTCTTTTCTCAATTGTTCAATGCTTTTTAATTTTGCATTTGCTTCCAGATTTATATATTAAGTTGCAAAAGCAAAACATTTAAACTACTTTTCTTACGTTATCACAAACAAAGGTGGTCATATGATGCTTTTTTAAAGATCATTATTTGGTGTATTTGGTGTAACAGAATATGTTGACATGCTTTAATATTCAAAAAACACATTATTTTTCAAATACTGTACATTATTGTAGGTCCTCTATGCCCCGCCTCTCTCAAACGCTTCGTTTTCTACAAAATCCCTCCTTCCGACAAGCGCAATCTGCTCTGATTGGCCGAACACCACAAGCACTCGTCGGAAATGTAACGCCCCTTACCATAATCGCGAGCTTCATCTTTCAAAATAAATGTAAAGACAGAGCCCGAAAGGGGAACAGAGTCGCGTGACAGACACAGTGATGAAGCTGGTATGTGTTTGCAGTACACAAGCCACGGTTAAGACAGCTGACTCCACTGTGATGTGACCCTGTCTCTCTTTCTCTCTCACACACACTTGCGCGCGCGCACACACACACACACGATGCGCAAAACTCCGCATTTGAACAGTCAATAGCAAATACTTAAACTAATAACAAAACAGTAGCTGATTCAGAAGC